ATTTTCTCTCTATATATAAATATATAGATATACCACATCTTCTCAATCCACCCAACTGTCATTGGGCACTTAAGTTCTTCCCATAATTTGGCTGTTGTAGATAATGCTCAGTGAACATGCATGTATTTCTTCCAGTAAGTGCTTTTGCATTCTTTGGGTAGATCCAGATTGCAGGATCATATAGCAGGTCAGTTTTGGGGGGTTATAGTTCAAGCCTCTATAAATATGTGTTTTCATACCATACAATCATAGCCCCTCAAATCCTCCACCATGCTCCATTAGGCACCCCCTCCCCAGTTCCCACCCCACCACACACCCCTTCTGACCTTCTGGTTGCCTCAGTCTCACAATCAGATTTCTGGAGTTTGTATTTGGTTTGGTTTTCTCTTACTTTGTTTTGTTTCTCTGTAGTCCACATATAAATGAAACCATCTGGTATTTATCTTCCTCTTTCTAACTCATTTCACTTGACATTATCTTCTCCAGTTCTGTCCATATTTTCACACATGACAAGAGTTCTTCCCTTTATACAGCTGAGTTGTATTCCAATGTATGCACAAATACCACATTTCTATGATCTATTTTTCTTTCCTTGGAAATGTATTTGTTTCCATAACTTGACTGGTAGATCTATTGATATTTTTAATGTCAAACAGCAAAATTTAACACATTGAGTAGCTCTCTCTTTATTTTCTGCAAAATGATTTCAATCCTTTTTGTAAATTGTATTATTTGGGGAGGAAAATTCCTAACAAGCCCCAGTTTGTTTTCTCTTCTTCTTGCCTGACAAGTTGATTTTTCAGTTTGGAAATAATCATCAGTCTATGATTTGCCACTGAAAGAGCACTCAGAGGTATCCAAGTCTCGGGGAAGTTATTGCCATTTGACAGCTAAGTTGAAAAGCAAATAGTTGAGAACCTTTTCTTTCATCAGTTATTCTGAAAGTTTCTACTCATTGCTTGCTCATTCACACTAGGTAAATTTGTTCCTTAGACACATCTCTGTTTCTGTCCATGATGTAAACTTGATATGTGCATATATAGCTGAACATTAAATCCTTTCAGCAACGTGCTCCATTTCTTCCCAAACCCCTAGCAACCACTAGTCTACTTGCTGTATCAATATCTTTGGCTTTTTGTTTTAAGCTAACATATACGTGATATCATACAGAATTTGGACAATGACTATTGAATTAGAAGACATTATAGCATTGCTTTTCCTAAATACTGCCAATATACTCTCATTTTACTGGTTTATGAGATTCTCATCTTCTTCATAGCTTTTTCCTATATAGCTTTTTTTTTTTT